TATTCCCCTTTATATTACTCTAGCAAAAGTTCTCTCTATTTTTTTAATCTTTTAAATAGAACAGCTTTTAGTTTTGTTGAGCTTTCTCTTATATTTCTACTCCCTCATTAATTTCTGGCCTAATCCTTGTTATTTCTTACTTTCTTCTAACTTTGGGCTTAGTTTGTTCTTCTTTTCCTGGTTCTTTGAGATGTAAATTTAGATTGTTAATTTGAGATCTTTCTTTCTTCTTAATGTAGGCATTTATCACTACAAACTTCCCCTTAGAACTGTTTATGTTGCATTCCATAAGTTTTGTTTTGTTGTGTTTCCTTTTTCCTTTTTTGTTTGTCTCAATTTATTTTATTTCCCTTTCGATTCCTTATTTCCTTATTTATTTATTTATGTGAGGAAGATTAGCCCTAAGTTAATAACTGTTGCCAATCTTCCTCTTTTTGCTTTAGGAAGACTGTCATTGAGCTAACATCTATGCCAATCTTCCTCTATTTTGTATGCAGGGTGCCATCTCAGCATGACTTGATGAGTGGAGCATAGATTCACATCAGGATCTGAACCTGTGAACCCTGGGCACTGAAGCAGAGTGCACAAACTTAACCACTATTCCACTGGGCTGGCCCTTTTTTGATTAATTTTTATTTCCTTTTTGACTTCTTCTCTGATCAATTGCTATTTCAGATGTGTATTGTTTAATTTCCACATATTTCTGAATTTTCCAATCTTCCTTCTGTTACTGATTGCTAGTTTCATACTATTGTGGTCAGAAAAGATACTTGAAATTATTTCAATCTTATTTAATTTAATAAGACTTGTTTTGGGCTTAACATATGATCTGTCGTGGAGAATGATTTGTGTGCACTTGAAAAGACTGTGTATTGTGCTACAGCTGGATAGAAATTTCTGTACATGTCAGTTAGGTCCATTTGGTCTATACAATTGTTCAAATCCATTGTTTCATTGTTGATTTATATCTGAATGATCTATCCACCATTGAGAGTGGGGTATTGAAGTCTCCTACTATTATTGTATTTCTATCTATTTCTCCCTTTATATCTGTCAATATATGCTTTATAAATTTCTGGCCTCTGATGTTGGATGCACATTATTTACAATTGTTATATGCTCTTAATGAATTGACTCCTTTATTATAATATAATGACCTTCTTTGTCTCTTGTGACAATTTTTGATTTTAAGTCTATTCTGTCAAATAGAAAAATAGTCACTCCTGTGTTCTTTTCATTACCCTTTTCTATGGAATATCTTTTTCCATTCCTTCACTTTCAGCCTGTGTGTCTCCTTAAAGCCAAAGTGAATTTCTTATAGGCAGCATATAGGTGGATCTTGGTTCTTTTCCATTTGGTCATTCTGTATCTTTTGACAGGAGAATTTAATCCATTTACATTTAAAGTAGTTATAGATAGGTCAGAACTTATTATTACCATTTTGCTCGTTATTTTCTGACTGTTTTGTAGTTCCTTTGTTTCTTTCTCTCCTGTTATCTTCCATTCTGATTGGATGATTTTTTTTTGTAGTGGTAAGCTTTGATTACTTCCTCTTTATATTTTGTATATCTGCTGCAGGTTTTTTACTTTTGTTTGTCATGAGGCTTACAGAACATATCTTACAGTGATAATAGAATATTTTAAGGTAATAACAACTTAACTTTGATCACATACAAAAATTCTACACTTTTACTTCTCCCTCCCTCATGTATACACTTTATATTATCAATTTCACAATTTACATCTTTTTATTTTATTATTGTAGTTAGCTATTTTTATTACTTTTGCCTTTTAAGGTTGAAAGTGATTTGTACACTACTATTAAAGTATTAGTATATTTTGTATTTCACTATATTTACCTTTACCAGTGAGTTGTATACATTAATATTTTTCGTCATGCTAATTAGTGTTTTTTTTGTTTCAGCTTGAAGAACTCTCTTAAGCATTTTTCGTAAGGCAGATCAAGTAGTGATGAGCTCCCTCAACTTTTGTTTGTCTGGAAAAGTCTTTATTTCACTTTCATTTTTGAAGGAAAGCTTTGCCAGGTATAGTATTCTTGGTTGGTAGGGTTTTTTTGTTTCAGTATTTTGAATATATCATCCCACTCTTCTGGCCTGAAAGATTTTTGCTGAAAAACTTAATGACAGTCTTTTGAGGACTCCTTTGTTTAAGACAAGTCACATTTCTCTTGCTCCTTTCAAAATTATCTTTGTCTTTTGACTATGTGGTTATAATGTGTCTCACTGGAAATCTCTTTAGTGTCAACATATTTGGAGGCTTTGGGCTTCATAATTCTGGATATACATTTTCCTCTCCAGATTTGGGAAGTTTTCATTATTTCATTTCATTATTTCTTTAAATAGGCTCTTCCTCTTTCTCTTCTCCTTCTGAGTTTGCCATGATGCATATATTGTTTCACTCAATGGAGTCCCATAGTCCCTGAGACATTCTTCAATCTTTTTCATTCTTTTTTTCTTTTTGCTTCTCTGACCAGATAAGTTCAACTGACTATCTGCAGGTTCATTGAATCTTTCTTCTTGTTGATCAGCGTTGCCCTTGAACCCCCTAGTGAATTTTTCAACTCAGTTATTGTAATCTTTAACTCCAGCATTTTTGTTCAATTCACTTTTCTATTATACCTATCTCTTTGCTGATATTTTCATTTTGTTCTCATTTGCTTTCCTGATATCATTTAATTCTTGATCATGTACTCTTGTAACTCCCTGAACTTGTTTAGGATGATTATTTTGAATCCATTGCAAGCAATTCACAGATCTTCATTTCTTTTGGATCTGTTGTGAAGATTTGCTATCTTCCTTAGATTGTGTCATCCTTCATGTTCTTTGCATTTTTTGTAGTTTTTTTTTCTGTTTTCTGAGCATTTGAAGAAGCAGCTTCCTCTCTCTGTCTTTATAGACTTGTTTTGACTAGGAGAGAACTTCACCAGTCAGTAGTACTCAATATTAAGCAAGATAAAGACCAATCCTTCAAAGCATGTGCTTTAAGGCTGGAGACAAGGCCCCCCTTACTTCCTGCCCTCCCTCTTGGGAGAAAAGCCTCAGTTCTGTGCTTTTTCTCAATCATATAGAACAGTGTCAGATATAGGAGGACACCTACCCCTTTTCTTTTTTGCATGCTCACCCAAAAGACCAAGCTCTTCCAGTTTTTTCGCACTTGGTATGAGCAAGATAGAAATATTACAAAGGACAGTCTGAATTTCTGGGAATTAGTCCCCCTCTTCTTCCTTTTCTCCTTCATAAAGGAAAAAACCTCAGTTCTGTTATTATTCCAAATCACACAGAGCAGCAGCAGCTGTAAGTGAATGCCCTCCTCTTTCCTGTGTTCTGAGCTCAATATGAGGCAAGATAAGAACTTGCTGTCGTATGGACTATAAGACAAGTCTACATAAATTTAAAAGTATTCAAATCATATAAAGTAGGTAATTGACTATAATGAAAATAAATTAAAATCAATAACAGAATAATAGATGGAAATTTTCCATGAGAATTATAATCCATGTGTTCAAGTAATTAAAAGGAAAATTAGGAAGTATTTTGATCTGCATGAAAATAAAACAGTATATATTAAAATGTATATGATGTAATTAAAGCAATGCTTAAAGGGAAATCAATAAAATTAAATGCCTATATTGAAAAGAATAAAAGTCTCAAATGAATATGGTTTCCATATAAAGAATCTGGAAAAAGAAAGCAAATTAAAAACAAAGGACAAAAATATAAATGTTTATATTTATATTAAACAATAAAGCAGAAATTAATGAAATAGGAAACAGAAAAAACATAGAAAAATCAATGAAATGAAAATCTGATTCTCTGAGAAAATCAAAAAGTTAAAAAACCTCTAGCCATGCTGATAAAATAAAAAAAGAGAAAAGCACAAATTACCAATATCAAGAATGAGAGAGGGCAATATATTGCAGGTATTACAGCTATTTAATAAGAAATAAGGGATCAGGAAGAACTTATTCCAATAAATTTGACAGCATAAATGAATGTACAAATTTCTTAGAAGACACAAACTACCAAAAATTGAATTTATACTTGAAAACCTTCCCACAGAGAAAACTCAAGGCCCAGATGACTTTCTTGGTGAATTCTATCAAACATTTAAGAAAGAAATCGTATCAATTCTAAAAAAACTCCATAAATTTAAAATTAAGAAATACATTATAAAAGGCCAGCATTACCCTGATACTAAACTTGAAAAAAGCATTTTACAAAATCCAACATCCATTCCTGATTTTGAAAACTTTCAGCAAACTTAATAGAAACAAACTTCCTCATCTTAATAAAAGGCATCTATGAAAAACTATGAAAATATATAGTTAGTATCACACTTAAAAATGAAAGACCGAATGCTTTTCTCATAAGATAGGAACGAGTCAAGGACATCCACTCTAACCACTTCTCCTTAGCATTGTACCATTTGATCTAGTAAGTGCAATAATAAGGCAACAAAAATCAATAAAATGGTCCATAGTAGAATAAAAGAAGTAAAATATCTTTATTAGCTGACAGCATGAATATCTATGAAGAAAATCCTACGTAATCTATAAAAAATTAGTAGAAGTAATAGGTTTTGCAAGTTTGTAAAATACAGCGTCAATAAACAAAATAATCTTTTATATTTCTGTATATTAGCAATAGCAATTGTAAATTGAAATGAAAAACACCATTTAAAACGGCATCAAAAATTGAAATACTTAGGGATAAATCTCAAAAAGATATGCAAGACCTGTTCACTGAAAGCAATATCACATTGCTGAAAGAAATTGAATGGGACTTGCATAGATAGAGAGGTATACTGTATTCATGGTTCACTCTTCACAAGACATAAATACATTCGTATGTTAAAAATTACGTTTCAGATATGATGATATTCAAATCAATATTTAATGCCTCAAAGTTCCTGAGTTTAAAATATCAAAGATAGAAACAAAAGGCTACACCATGGTTAGTGAGAAGTCTCTATCATATAATTTATGAGATCTTTCTGTAAGTCACTAACTGTTTGCATACTCTCTTCATTGCTGCCTTCATCTCTTTATTCCTGAATGTATAGATGACTGGATTCAGAAAAGGAGTGAGAACAGCATCAAGAACAGCAAGAAACTTGTCCATCTGTGAATTGGGGTGTGGCCATGTATAGACAAACATGGTTGGACCAAAGAACAAAAGGACCACGGTGATGTGAGCTGATAAAGTGGAGAGGGCCTTGGATGAACCACCTGAGGAATGTTTCCAAACAGTAAACAGGATGAAGATGTAGGAGATGAGAAGTATAAAGAAAGAACCAACACAGATAAACCCACTGTTGACAGTGACCATGAATTGCAATCTGTATGTATCTGTACAGGCCAGTCTGAGGACACGAGGAAGGTCACAGTAAAAGCTGTCTAACACATTAGGACCACAGAAGGGTAGATTAACAATAAATGCTAGTTGGAACAGTGAGTGGCTGATACCAAGGGCCCAGGCAGCAGCCAGGAACAAAATGCACATTTGTGGGCTCATGATAGTCTGATAGCGGAGAGGCTTACATATGGCAACATATCTGTCAAAGGCCATGGCTATGAGTAGCACCATCTCCACACCACCAACGACATGGATGAAGAAGATCTGAGCAATGCAGCCTCCAAATGAAATGACTTTGCGCTTTCTGAAAAGGTCATAAATCATCTTGGGTGAGGTGACAGAGCATGCTCCCAAGTCAATGAAGGAGAGACTGGCCAATAGGAAATACATGGGGGAATGTAAATGAGGATCAGTGGTCACAGAAAACACAATGAGGATGTTTCCAGTCAGGCTTGCCACATAGAGCACAGAGGAGAAAACCAGGAGGAGAAGCTGCATCTCCCATGAATGTGTGAGTCCCAGAAACACAAACTCAGACACAATAGAGTGATTCCCTCCATCCATTGATCCAACCAACTGGGCTGATGCTGAAATTATGAGAACTAAGAAAATGAGGAGGTAACTGTGATTATGGAGATGATAATACATCATAGAATTACTGATGTTTCATCATTCTCCTTAGGAATGACAAGCATATAGTTGTCCAGTTCCTCAAATATTAAAAAGCAAAAACCAAAAATCAACATAATATTATCACAATGTGTGAGCTGCAACATATTTTACCAATTACCAACACTCTCGCTGCAATGTTCTATTCTCAAATAAACAGATTAAGCAAGAACAAGATGGCTGAGCAGGCATTAGACTGTAAATCTAAAAAAGGTCTAGAATGAACTGAATATGATAATTAGTTTAAACTAAAACAAATGATTTCGACTCATTAGGGATGCATGAGGGTTCATGATGTTCATCAGTTGTTTAAATTACTTCTGATATTGGCTATTCCTCATTTCCAACATATTCCATTTCACCTTCTGTATATTCTCAAAATCCACTTCTCCCCCAGTTTGCTTTCACAATTCGCTGGCAGAAAGTAGGGATGAGAGGAAAACATGATTAACAAATGGATTGTCACCTGGAGTGAGAGGTGCCTGAGACATGAGTTGTGACTGATTTAGGATAGGCTGAAGATTGAGACTATGAATAAAGAGATCAGGATATGTCAAATTAGAGAGTCTGCAAGTGTAGTAGAACAGGGGAAGCATGTGGACTCTAATAAGGAATAGAACAACCACTACTTTCCACCATGCTTTATCATGTTCACTACTATTCTAGGTGCCTCTTCTTCCCACCATATTTTTCATAATTACGAAGCCCTAAAATGGCTTCAAGACACAGTGAGACATTCATAAGGAGCCTATGCCACCTAGTTATTCAAAGCTTTCTTCAGGCCTACCAAATGTGTATTTGGGAGATTTCATCAGAGTTTCTGCCAAGACATATGCCTAAAGTCACCACCAAGAATATAAAATATCTCTTCGAACAAATTTTCTCTGTCCATACACAGGAACGTATTGAGGGGCAGCACTTGGAATAGTTGGGATATTAAGCTTTAATTCAACAGTGCCTCAGCCTCCCTTTGGTGTCACCTTTTATGTCTATTGGCATCCCCCAACCCTTTGAAGTACTCAGTACTGGCTGCAGGGTAACCTCTTCTGCTATTTGATGTTAGCCTGCTTACTCTGACTGAAATCCGTTCAGATGTTTTACCTTCAGGGTAATTTGCATTTTATACTCTCGATTTATTATGATAAAATAAGAGAAATGTTAAACATTAAGAAGTCACATTTTAGGAGGGCAGATGAGCTTTCTTCTTGATCTTAAACCATAAATGATGTGACACTGTAGATTTAGTCCTTTAATATGGATTGTATTTATATGTGAAGTGGAGGGTGAGCAGAGAACAGTGTTATGTTTCTCTGTGTCCACATACCCACCTCAATCATTCCCTGTAATAGAGAGATGTTTCTGAAAACACTTAACAGAAGTTAATCACTTTAGGAGTTGACAAAATACAGTAGAACAGGTATACTGACACCATTCATTTTTGCAGCTGTGATCCAGACCTTCTCACACAGAGGACCATCTGTCTGATGCCTTCATTCATCCCAGACTGCAAAATTCCCAGAGGCTGTCACTGTGTCCTGACTCCAATTCTGGGTCACCATCGCTGGCATGAATCACCTTCTGTTCTCACCTACAAATAGTGAATATACTGTCACTTCCTGAGCCACTAGTCCATAGTCTTAAGGTGCACATTTTCTATTATCAGAAACCTGGGGCCTGAAGTAGGGGGCAGAAAACAACCGCTTATGCTGCTCATCAGGGCAGGAGAGTCAACACAGGAGAGGACTGATGGGATGAACATACATGGGAGGCGATGGAGGCACTGGTGAGGGGGCCAGGAAACCCACTAATTATTGAAAAACATCCAAGTTCTTAGTGAAGAAAAGCTCATGTCCCAAGTGTTATGAGATGAGAATTCTCATGGAATTATATAAAGACCATTTACTCCAGCTGGTCATCATTCAGATGAAAAACATGAGCTCCAGCAAAGTAAACCGAGTTTCCAAGATTCACACAATTGGCAGCATGGGGGACCAGAACCTAGGTCTCTTGATTCCTATTCCAGAAAGACAAGCCCTAGAGAAAATAAGGGAGTAAAAATACAAAAAAACCCCTCAAAATAGTGATTTTTCCTGGGTAAAACCAAACTAACCAGAGACATTCATACAAAGTATCCATTATTAATACTAAATTATTACATAGCAAGCTAACAATAAATAAATATTATATAAAATGTGTGCAAAATTAAAGATTATTTGACTGGTTCAAAGCAATTTATAGTTGAGAAACTGATTATTACTATTATGATTTGTATACTGATTCTTTGTATTTTGCTGGTTATGTAACTGGTCATCACAACTGTAAATAGCTTAATGTGATGTTTGTAAGAAACCCATCCTTTTGGCCTTTCTAAACTTCATTATCCCCAAAAGTCAATTAAAATCACAATTACTTCTTGTAGCTGTGATTGGCAATTTTCCTTATACTGATTTATTATCTTGCTAATTCCTATAAGTCAAAGGATTAAGAAAACAGTTGAAAACACATGAATTACACACATAAAAAATACAATCTAATGTGGTATGCATGTCAAGCGAAGAGTAAGATGAATACTTGGTGAGGTTTGGGGGGAAAAATTGCTGTAGATGACATTCAAGGGTAGAAGAAACCTAGCATCAGCAAAAGCATGTGGGGAAGGCTATGCCAGGGCCATAGATATTGATCTGGTCCTTCTGGAATTAGTGAAAATTGAAAGGAAAAGAGAAGGAAGAGATATGTAATGTATGGGAAATACCTTGAATTATATAGTATGAAGGTACTTATTAATATTAACTATCATTATTCGTGTGTATATAGCCCATACCATATACCCAGGCACCTATGGAAAGTTAGTAGGTAGTTCCTGGTTGGGATGTTAGATTAGTAACTCCTGAATAGAGTAAGGTCATGCCTTTAGTTCAATGATCTTTATTATTCTTGATTCTCTCCTCTCTTGGTCATCTTTTCCAATAATTACAATATGCATAAGGGAAAATATTTCATTTAAAAATTTATAATAGCTGTGAG